GAAAAGACCGCATGTCTCTGCCAGAAACTGCTTTGCCAAAGCCCAAGCTGAGCCAATCAGCATGAGACTCTGGAACAAAGCCAAGTTCATCCCCTAATCGTCTCTAGCATTTTGGAGTCCCAGGCGAACTTCCAACTGAGTCACCTTTACAAGAAGTTGCCTCCATGGGGTTGAATTTGGTGAAAAGTGCAAGCTGAGGCACATCAGAACTCTTTTGTAACAATAGAATATTGCGTTTTGTAACCATTGTTTCTGAAAGGAGAAAAAGACTTTGGGTAAATCATGTATTCTATATTGGGCACAGTGTTGTTTGTTTAGGTTTTTGAAACAGGAATTTGGGGGTCAGTAAATCATATTACAGAGGATTTCAGGTTATATCTTTAAAAATATTCATCAAGATACTGAGCGCATTAACACGTAAATAACAAATACATGTTTATGCATTGGCTTTTAGACGAAGCAATCTGCTTGGCATTTTCTCAAGGGAATTATTTAAATTTTAAATGGAACAACATCTCATTTAGATTTCTACAAATATACTAGGGCACCGAAGTAATTTATATGTACATGAAACTCTTCACTTAAGCACCTGGGTACTTGACAATAATTAAAATACAAAGTAGACTTATTAACTTCTCTTTTTAACTTTCCACCTTTTTTCCCCCTGCTTCTTCACAGAGAGTGAGAGGAAATTTCTAGAATCAGTTGACAATTACCTAGCGGTCTTTTTTCCCCACACCCACAAAATGCTTAATTGCAATTCCCTCCAGAATCTCTTTTCTTGTGGCTTCCTTCAAAAGCTAGGCTCTGCTCTTCCCTTATATACTCCCTCTTTGTTTTCAGAATGTTTTCATTTCATAAACTTTCAGTCCCACTATTCCACCTGCCAGAGACTGAACATTTATCACATTTTAATGCTAGCAGTATAATTAAGGAACTAGATGGATGTGAGGAACTATGAAAATGATTGTATTGTCGCTTGGCAATTTTCACAAGAGAGCTTCAGTAATGACCTGAGGATGGGTAAGTCCTATATTTATGTCATTTGTCACAGATTCTCACTCTCATCTTCCCCAATGTTAGTTACCCATGGGATCTAACTTGGGCCCTAGCCACCTTGGATCTATTGAAGCAAAAGCTTTGGGGCTGACAGCCTTTGGTCTGTGTTTTAAGAAGGCCTCCATGTGAGTCTGATGCCCACTGAAGTATGAACCTGCCCTGAAATTTCATATTTGAATCCAATAGTTTACTTCACATTTTCTATTATCAGTCCTTTGCCATTCGTGCCAGTAGTATGATGCTCACTTTAATTTGTTGACATCAAGCATCTTGAAGTCTCCTGGTACTGGTGAGTTATACCTGTACTTCTAGCTACTGGGAACGCTGAGCCTGGGAGATTGTGGTTCAAGGCCAAACCAGGCCAAAAAGTCTGTGAGGGCTGGGAAGGTGGCTCAGTGGTGGAGCGCTTGCCTTGCATGTCTGAGGCCCTGGGTTCGATTCCTCAGCACCACATAAGCAAAAAAGAAAAAAGCCGGAAGTGGCGCTGTGACTCACAGTGGTAAAGTGCTAGCCTTGAGCTGAAGAGCTGAGGGACAGCGCCCAGGCCCAGAGTTCAGGCCCCACAACTGGATCCCCCCCCCAAAAAAAAGTCTGTGAGACCCCTTCTCAATAGAAAACTGGATTGGTTAACACATGCCTATTGTCCTAACCATGCTAGGAAGCTTAACATAGGCAAATAGTGCCAGTTATATACCTGGGGAAGGAAGCTAGGCTTTATTTAACAAATAACCAGCAAAAACATTGGCCTGGGGATGTGGCTCTGTGGTAAGAGAACCTGACTAGCAACTGCAAGGTCTACAGTTCAAGCCCTAGTGTTCTTTATCCTCCTAATACATATTACTTTGCCTTCTTTTCCAGTCCTCATCATGATGTCTGCTGGCTTTTTAACAAAAGTGTTGTTAAAAATATAATCCTTTTTCTTGCTTCTCAGTTGCAAAATCAAACCCCAACCCTCCAATAAGCCAACAGATAATCCTTCCTGTAGTTTTTTTTAATTTATTGCTGTTAAAATAGTTTTTTCTCATCTATTGATTTTTATCTTTCACCAAACTCCTCAAGAATAGTGCTGTGCTATTTTAAACCAAGATACAATGCTCCCACTTGTCCCTGGGGACCTCTGCCAATCAACATGCTATCTCTTCTTTCCTTTCCTTCCTCAGTTTCAACCGCGGAAGCTCATTGGCTTGTTGTCACTGGCTTTTAACTTGTTTTTTTTTTCTTATCTCTAATGCTTCTTCTCACTTCACAGCATCCTGTATTACTTTCTCATTGTAAATCTGACTCACATTCTTTGATTCAGGGCTCTACCTTATCATCAATATTCATTTTTGATCTGTGATCACTGTATTAAATTTTCTCTAATTTATAATTTCTTTCCAATATTATTGCAAGTGGCTACAATGTGACACTTGTCACCTCTTTACTCTGTCTTTTTAATGTTTCTCCATGGTTTGCAGTGATTCAGACAATGGTCAACTGACTTAAAAGTCTGTTAAATGAGATACTAAGTGTCCAAACTGGCAATTAATAGTTCTGGCTTAAATTTATAGGGGGAGGGCATGGAATGAAAACTACTATCTAATAAAGTTTATTAGATAATAGTTATCCATGCCAATAATTTCATGATGCTTTGCCATTACTATTTAAGACATGGTCCCTTATTGTGTCTGTTTCAGGACACAATTTATTTCTCAAGAAATCTCATGCCTGTAATCCTAACTACTCAGTAAGCTGAGATCTGAGGATTATGATTTGAAGCCAGTTAGGGTAGGAAGGTCAATTAGACTGACATCTCCAATTAATTAGCAAAATGCCAGATACAGAGCTGTAGCCTAAGTGATAGAGCACTCAAGTGGTAGAGTATTCAAGTGGTGGAGCCTTTAGTGAAAAAAGCTAAGGCAGAATACCCAGCCCCTGAGTTCAAGTCCTAGTAGTAGCACAAAAGAAAACAAGAAAGAAAGAAAGAAATCGGGAAGAGTGAGACCAAAAGTACTTATGTGGGAGCTGGGAAGGTGGCTCAGTGGTAGAGTGCTTGCCTTGCATGCATGAGGCCCTGGGTTCAATTCCTCAACACCACATAAGCAGAAAAAGCTGGAAGTGGTGCTGTGGCTCAAGTGGTAACGTGCTAGCCTTGAGCTGAAGAGCTGAGGGACAGTGTCCAGGCCCAGAGTTCAGGCCCCATGACAGACAAAAAAAAAACCAAAACAGTACTTATGTGTGTATGTGTAACTTCTCTTTAACATAGGCTTAACTAAAGGAGATTACATTAGAATGGGGACAGGAAAAGAGTTACCCCAACTTTGTTAGTTCTGCCCACCTAAAATATTTTTTAATGATTTGGTGTTATCCAGAGTTGTTTTGTTTTGTTTTTTGTTTTGTTTTTGTCAATCCTGGGGTTAGAACTCAGAGTGTAGGCACTGTCCCTGAGCTTCTTTTTTGCTCAAGGCTAGCACTCTACCACTTGAGCCACAGACTCACTTCCTGCATTTTCTCTTTATGTGGTACTGAGGAATCGAACCCAGGGCTTTATGCATGCTAAGCAAGCACTCTACCACTGAGCCACATTCCCAGCCCTGAGTATTTTTAATTTCAGAAAAGCAGTGAGCAACAGATGGGAGGTCCCAAAGAGATAAAGAGGTTAGAGAGAATCAGTAAAATCGGCACTTCTTAAAATGTTGTCCAGTAGAATAAATTAGTGGTGGTTTCCAAGGTGCAGTATAAAGTATATGCTTTTTAGTGGTGTCTATTTTACTCAGTAATTCAGATGGAGTCTGAGTGTGCACACCATATTTTGTGTATGTTGGAAGCAGAGCAGGTTAAGGCAAGTCTCTGCTATGCCCTGGGCTCTGGCTTCTGTAGTTTCACCTGCCTCTTTAGGGAATATGATGGCCAGTTGATGTATCTACAAGGCAAGGCATGAGAACAGGATAGTCAATCAAAACATACTGAGGGCCCACAATGTTATAGTGTTATTGGTAGACAGACAGTGTTTATTTGTAACAGCACAATAGAATCAGGGAACTGTCAAACACTTCCTGGAGGAAGTGTCTGAAGCATATTAAGAGCATCAATAGTGTTATTAATGGTTATTAATATGCATTAATTAATATGGTAACACACTTAGATGAAAAATATTCTGTCCTGGGCTGGCCAAGACCACACTCTACCTTTATCAGACCTGTGCTTTTACATTGCTCAATGCAAGGGTCTGCCCTTCATGAGGTTTAAGGTAGTATGATAAAGGGAAAAGGATTGCAGAACATGATTCAATCCCAGCTAAAGTTGGTGCCAATCAAATGATGAGGGGATGATGGGTGATGAATGGAAGATTTGGCTCTGGAGCTCAGAGAGTTCCTTTCTTGCCTCCTGGCACATTATGCAAGGTTTCCAGTGATCATATTGGCCATTATTTTAGAGCACAGGAGCTTCCCAAAAGAAAGGCAGAATATTCTATTTTTGCTATAGCCTGACAGATACTAGTGATTTCTTTTTCTAGCAATATGTGGCCTTGGCAAATAAAACAGAGGGGACCAGCAAGGATCCAGCATGACCAACAATCACATCTATTGGGGACATCTTAAAGCCTCCTAACTGAAAAGTCATGTTTGTAGATGAAGTAAGAGGCTGTAGTCGCTCATACTGTGCCTATTTGTGGCACTATTTTAAACCACTCAGCTCATCTTTCAAAATCTGACCAAACTACAAACAAGATGGAACTCAGTCGCCTAATAGGGATGTTCATTTTGGCAGTCAGAGGCTTACGCGTGGCGCACAGATGGCTCCTGTCTCGTTTCGTGTAATCCAATCATCCTGCTCGACTGCGTCTCACACTTCGTCTCCAGGAGTAATTGAAAAGCTCCTGGTGACAACTGTCTCTTATTCTAGATGTCATCCAGAGAATCAGGGAGGCTTTCAACACTTCCTCGACGTAGGGCGTGTACATGGCCCTCCGAATCACAGTGGCTCCAAGCAAGGTAAAGAGAATTTCTTTCTTGACATGGCCTGTCTCTCCACCTAGCACTAGTGCAAATGAGTGTGTTTGAAAGGAAACATTTTGCTTTCGCTTTGGGCTGGATTCCTTTCAGAAGACGTGCGACTGTAGTTTCTGCACCTCGTGGTAAGAGTGGCACCGTAGAGGTGTTGGGCTCAGGAAAGAATCATGAAACGCATGGACAGGGTTTCTTAGCAGTGTCTCTAAGCACCTGCTCTCTGTTTCTGAAATGTTGGTAGTTTGTCCTCTGTCTTTTGTTTTGTTTTTGGGGGGTGGCTTTTTTTTTAACTTCTGCAACTTCTAAAGGATGGGCAAGATTTTAAAAAGAAAGCATTGAAGCATACTCAGCTGTAGGGTGTTCAGTTTCTTTCTTCCCCCCCCCCCCCAGGCTAAAGTTAATACTTGTGTTTTACTTCAGTGTAAAAATACTCCTTAAAAAAAAAAGTCAGAGAGCCTAACACAAGGAAATACTCAGAGCCTGAAAGCAGCTGTGTAAATTCACACAGAGTTTGGGCCTGTAAAACAACCGGGCTTAAGTGGATGACACTGGAAAAATCAGATTTTTTTTTCCTTAAAAATTAAGTCATGAGTACAAGTTAATGCTACACTAATTTGATAAACTATCAACACGATGTGGATTTCCTCAAGTCTGTCCTGTTCTCTGCCGTCACTCAGCACCAGGAAGAAATGTGGAAGATGTCCGGCAGCTAAGAAATATTTTCTAGGTCAAGAAAAGCATCCTTTCAGGAAAAATAATTATGTAAGAAGCTCATTTTTACATTTATTTATTTTTATTATCTTTAAATGATTGTAAAAGGGGGTTTCAGTTCAACATGCCAGTTTGTAAGTATGATATATATATATATATTGAATATATGCATCTTCGTATATATACATATACACATATATACATTGAATATGGTGACTACATTCACCCATATTTCCTTTCTCCATCTATCTTTTAAGATTTTTTCAAACTAGTCATAATTTATACATAACTTTGGAATGGGATGAGAAATAACAACTTTGGCTGATAGGATAAAAAATTAAAGGATAATATCCTCTCCTTTAAGTAGCTTACACAAAGAATATAGGGTCTATCTTTGGTCTGGGCTTATACAACACACAAAACACACACATATGCACACTCCTTGCAGCAGAACTATCTAATGGTTTCAATGGTTCTATTTTAAAACCCCAGAGCTTTCTGTGTAGAATCATCATCATCTTAAGAACATTAAACCAATAGACCAATAGTTCAAACTGGTGAACTGGTAAAAATCTGAATTTTCCTGGTACACCCTGCAGTTTACAGGTTAAGTCTTTGCATAGAGCCAATACATCAGCACAAAAATTGCAAACACACTCACAAATTAATAGTAAAAGCAAAAGTGACCTTCATCTGAAGATAACGCAAAGACTCCACAAATTTTATGGAAGGTACACAATGTGCTCAGCAAATGCGCTCGTCTGAGCTCCCCATCTCTGCCATTTAAGTGAGAGAAAAGCTGACTCAAAGGAGAGTCATGGCCAAAGGCCATTTAATTAATTAGCTATCTGGGGAAATGGCACAAGAACTGGGAAGAAAGCCCAGGTATGAGGACAATTCAGTTGTTTGCTCAAAATCCAGCATGCTGTTGTGTAAGATGCAGTGAAAAGTTTGCACTCTTTACACCTACATCATGCATTTCCCTCAACTAGGGTGAACAAGTGTGTGTGTATGTGTGTGTGTGTGTGTGTGTGTGTGTGTGTGTGTGAAGAGCTCAAAGATACAACACAGTCCTGGATTTGGAGCTCTTCACTTAAACTGGGGAAATTCACCCCTACAAACACTTTTGGGAGGAAATGCTTTCAATAGACTGGGTCCTGTGCTGTGACCCACAGGTGACAGGGCTATGTCTCATTCTATCTCTAGGAATTTCCATAAGAACTCAAAAGCAGTTTTTTCCCCTGGAGAGAAGTGTAAGGGATGGGGTTTTCTATGTAACTCATGCAACTGAAGCACAAACAAACAGACACAAGACAGAAGGACTCTTTTCTTGGGAAGATTATTGGTGAACTACACCTAGAGGTTAGACAGCTTTGCTCTAAGAAGGGTAGAATTGTCATAGATCAGCAACATTCCACTTTATAAAACCACACAAAGGTTTCTTGTTTTCTAGACTAAAAATAATGTTATTTTTAAAGGACTGAATCCCAAGTTCCAAGGAACTTCTCCTAAACTTTGAGAGATCATGTGCTCCCAATGCTACTTAAGTTGTTTCTGACTATAGAGAAGAAGAAAAACCATAACATAGATTTTTAAATGAAACAAGAATCAAAGAGCAATAAACCAGGTCACTCTCATTGATGAATATAAAATCAAAATCTAAATTAGCAAAAAGAATCTAAAGTTCATGATAAAAATAAAACATCATGGTCACATAGTATTTATTCTATAAATATAAGAATTGTTCGGGGCTGGGAAGGTGGCTCAGTGGTAGAATGCTTGTCTTGCATGCATGAGGCCCTGGGTTCGATTCCTCAGCACCACATAAGCAGAAAAAGCCAAAAGTGGTGCTGTGGATCAAATGGTAGAGCACTAGCCTTGATCTGAAGAGCTGAGGGACAGCGCCCAGGCCCAGAGTTCAGGCCCCATGACAGACAAAAAATAAAATAAAAAAATAAGTAAAAAGAATTGTTCCATGATAGGTAATCTAATGCTATGCTTGCAAATTGTAAATTTGTCCCCTTCACTGATGTTAAAATGTTCTTCAACTTAATTTGAAAACCATTCTTGAATAAGAAAGACCCCAAATAAATGGCCTTCTGTGATGTTAGTATAAAGCACAACAGAGATAGAGAGAAAGAGAGCACTCATTTATCTAGAACTGTTTTATCTGTGAAGAGTACTAACGACATTCTCAGAAAGACAAAGGACAAAGAACCAGGCAATAACTAATAGCCATTAAACAATATACTGGAGTCAATTCAATCATACCAGAATAATAACAAAAAAGTTGTAAGAATTAGAATAGAAATAAAATCCTTTCTGTTTATAGATTGTATTATATTATCTGGAAAAATTCAAGAGAAAATCAATGTAGCACTAAGATCTACTACATAAACTATCAGTAAAATAATAGGCTATTAAATTAAAATATGAAAATCAAGAGACCTTCATACACAAATAAGAGCTAATTAGAATGTTGTTAAGGACAATAAAACTTCAGTATATTAATAGCAAAGGGGGAATTTATTTAATAATGAACAACTTATAAAAATAAAAATAATAATAAAATAATAATAACAAGAAGAGTAAAAACCTATCTGAGGAAAATATATATTTTGTATATAACAAATGTATATTTTGGTAAATATTAAGTAGAATTTAGGATATACAATTTAAAAAGCCCTTTCTTTAAAAATCTACAAAATACATAACAGAGGGGCTATTCATGATGCCAGCATCTAAAGACAAATAAGTAATTTGTATGTCTTTGTAGAGAGGTATGTAAGTTCTCACTTCTCCCCTCTGCAAGGTACAGATTTTGATCAAAAGAACTGGAGGGTTGTTTAACAGCAATCTAACTTGGAGGTTTATTTGGGCCTCATGTTACTCTCTGAATAGTAAGTTGCTCTCTGAGTAGTAAGATTGTGGGTGATACTGGTTGTTTATGCTCATATTTTTGGTTCCCCAAGTCTCTACAATGGCTTTTAGTTTGACAATAATATCTATTTATACTTTCATTTTTTACGTTGAATACTTTGGAGACTGAATTAATTAATACTCTATTGAGAGTTTAGAAAATCAAAGAAGAAACAGCCTCTGAAGGATTCAGGGGTTTGTTGTTGAGACCAAACAAGATCATATCTATTATCTATATCTATCTATCTATCTATGATATATATATATATATATATATATATATATATATATATATATGCTAGTCTTGAACTTGAGATCTCTCTGCCTCAGCCTCACTGGAGTTGGGGATACCACCATGCTTCTCTCCCTAAAGTGTTTAAGACCTTTTAGAACCTAAAAGTTCTGGGAAGAAATTTGAAAATATTACATGGACTGAAAATGGATTACCAGTAGTTGAAAACAAGAAAATTTAGTTTACTTTCTCCCAATACTGTACCTCTGATCCCAAACTACTCCAATCCTCCTAACAGTAACAAGAATACTTAACATATTCTATCCTTCCTGATATATGTATTCCTGATGTTTGTCTTACTAATTGCTTAACAGCAGCAAATACACTGAGACAGACCAGTTACTCTGTTTGTTTTGGGGAACTTTTCTGGACATTACTTCTTATGTCAGCCCTTCTTGTAGGGCTAATAGGTGAATGGTGCCAGCAACTGCTTAACTATTAAGTTATTGTGGATCTTCAGTGGTGGTAAAATGGGGCTGAGTGGATGCAGAGACATTTTCCTTAACCAATCTTGCAACCGTTTTTATTATTCCCATTGAGTAAGTAAACTTTTAGTTCCCAAGAACTAGAAGAAACTAATGATGAAATTGAATTTTTGGTTGTTTTTGTTAGTCATAGGGCTTAAACTGAGAGCCTGGACATTGTCCCTGAGCAATTTTGCTCAATGCTAGTGCTCTACCACTTTGAGCCCCAGCTCTACTTCTGGTTTTCTGGTGGTTAATTAGAGATAAGAGTCTCACAGACCTTCCTGTCCTGCTTGGCTTAAAACTGTGATCCCCAGATCTCAGACTTCTGAATAGCTAGGATTACTGGCGTGAGATAGCAGTACCAGACTTAAGAAACAATTTAAAATACTAATCCTACAAATATTTATTCAACTTGTAGCACATGCTATCGTTGTACATATAAGGAATAGGTTGATGATTTCCTAATGAGAATGTGCATAATTTCTCCCTACAGGAATTTATATTTAAATGTACCTATATAGTAAGACTTGGAATTATCTTTGACAACTAACAATTTTAATCTGGAGTCCATGAATAGACCCTAGTGGTGAAAACGT